ATCTTAATTGAACAAAATAACCCTACTCTAAACCAACACCCCGGGGAGAGAGCTCAGAACTCGATCCTGCTGTAATTAGTCTTCCATCTATTAAGACTGAATGGAGGCAGTAAATGATTGTATTATTCAAGCAACTGTTCATTCTATACCTAAAACCTCAATACGTTTCCCACGATATCCTCATCCATGGTGGTCTCCAGCTCGTCAGCAGGCACAGAAGGCTCAGAAATGGGTCTGAGATACCTTTTGGAGGTATCTCACTCTTTCTAACCACAATGCTTTTCTGTGGGTTCCTGTCCATGCCTCGGCAGGTCAGATGTCAAAGCCAGAAAGAATCTTCGATTAAGTTCTCAACTAGCATCTCTTCTACCACCAGTTCCAAAGTCATATGGGATAAGATTCGGAAGGTCAATAGGAGGTATGCTTCCCATCCCCTTTCCATCTTACTCCAGGAAGTTGCTGATGTACAGAGCATTGCTGATACTCTCAGTGAGAGCATTTCTCGTGCATCTAGCATTTCTGTTTCTTCCCCCGCTTTCTTGGCTATCAAGTCTCGAGCAAAGTGATCGCCCCTTTCATTTCGGGCCGATCGTCTCTATGAATATTATTGCTCCCTTACACTGGTGGACCTCGAACTTGCTCTTTATTGGTTTTGCAGTACATCGGTCAAACCTGATGATGTTTACTATGAGATGCTGCACCATCTCTCTGCTGCCTCTCTTGCTCTTCTTCTGGTTGTCTTTAATCAGGTCTGACAGGTGAACGTTTTTCCTGATGCTGCCTGGCTATTGTACCCCCTTTTTTCTAAACCTAGGACGGGTCCCAAGATTCCTTTTAATTATTGCCCAATCACTTTGATTAGCTGTCTATGAAAGGTTTTAGAGAGGATGGTTAATGCTCGTCTTTTTCGGTTCCTTGAATCAAACAACCTCCTTTCGTCCACCCATGGACCACATGATTCGACTTGAGACCTCCATCACGAAAGCCTTTTTCAACGGATGATTTCAAGTTCATATGGTTTGGACACTTTCCTGTTCTTTCACACAGGAACTTGGAGTCCTTCAGGGCTGTGTTTTGAGTGTCACACTTTTCATTATCAGGATCAATGCTATTACTACAGAACTTCTTCCTACTGTTGCAAACGGACTCTATGTTGACGACTTCCACATCTCATGTCAGTCATCGAACATGAGGTTTATTGAGCAGCAGCTTCAGACTGCCCTCAATCACTTGATACACTTTGTGTAGCTTTGTGTTTTATAACGAACAATAATAGCAATCTAAAGATGAGAGTCTTGCCCTCAATGTTGTTTTCCAGCTTACATGTAACATCTGTCATCATATGTACATAGGAGAAACCGGAAAAACCCTATACACAAGGATAGGAGAACATATTGACGGTTTTTATAAACAACAACATGAACGAAGCGCAGTTGCAGACCATTTTCAACTAATCATGGACAATTAACACTTGATCTGAAATCACCATTCTCCGTATAAATCCTCTCCAAAGCCACCAAGTACATTGACAGAAAATTCAAAGAATCTCTTCTCATCGAACAACTATGACCACATATGAATAAGGATAAAAGATGGCGCCTATAATTTTAATGTTTTTATTTTCTTTTTATTCAATTTTTTGTTATTTCACCCTGTAAGCTTGATAGAACTTTTGTTTAGTACAGGTTGTAATTAATTATTTCAATAATATGTGAAAAGCACGTTATAGATTCGAATTGAATATATTATTTAAACCATTTGAAGCTTTGTACTGTCAGTTTAAGTTTGTGTTTTAATGAACACTCCTGAAGAAGCTGTAAAGCGAGACGTTGAGTGTTTAATTGACTAAAAACAACATTTTGTGTTATAAGGTTGTTTATTTTTAGTGTTAATATCAAAGTAATTTTGAACTGTCTACTCCTAAAGTCTGAAGCTTGATGTTCTTAAAAACCAACGGTAACAGTGTTATGTATGGTATGTAGGACAACAATTGGAATATGTTAGAAAAACTTTTACATTTTGGGTAGGGTCTGTCGGCACATAACCATCCCTAATTTCGAACTGATAGACTAAAAGAATACAGCTAGTCAACAGTAATCATCGCCAACTCATATACTACTCTTGTATGACAAATAACTGGATTTGACCATTCCAAAAGTGCGAAGAGCATTTTTGTGGCAAAGAGACGCGAAAATGAATCCTCTTCAGACTGTAAATCTAGGCAGGTCCACGCCTGGCCTATTCACAGATGCCAATTAGATCAATGTTTGGTCCCTAGTGGTTCAGTGGTAAGTCTGACGGCTTATAACGCTAAAAAACGGGAGTCGATACCCGTGGTAGACACAGTACAGCTATCCCATTGTGCAGCTTTGTGCTTAACAACAAAAAAAACGAGATAAATGTTTAAATCTGTTGTGATAATAGATATACATATACACGCATACATATTTACATATATATATTAATTTTAAGGACGTCATCCCTAAGAATCAGTAACCGTTTGTTATCTATAAATTTACTTATCATGGTAGTGTAGAGCAATGTTTAGGCTCCACCTCTACGTGGTTGTATACTAGTGTAAAAACAGCACCCTTGGCAAACCTGAGAAAAGAAAATTTTCATAGTGTCTTTACGTGTGTAGTTTACTGCAGAATTATTTTGTAAAAAAGAAACGTGTTTTTAAAAACATGTTCTGTAAATTATAAAATACACTTTCGCAAAGGAATTCAAACTAAGATAGATGTCATGTTTTGTTTAACAAACACAAGACATATACAATTCTTTTCAGAATTAAATGTAGAACATGAGCATATGTGGGAAGTATCTAGAACCTTCCATGTTTTCACAGACTGACAGAGAAAGGATTTCCAATATTGACAAAGACAAAGTTTTCAGCACTCATGGAGACAGAATCTTCAGCACTAACAGAGAAGGTATTTTCAACATTGCCAAAGAAATTATTTTCGACACTGACAGATTAGGAAAATCCAACATTCATAGCTAAAAGATTTCCATCATCGACAGAGAAGAAAATTCCAACAGTGACAGAGAAGAGAATTCGAACAGTGACAGAGAAGGGAATTCCAACAATGAGAGAAAGGGGATTTTCAAAATTCATAGAGAAAGCATTCCCAGCATTCATAAAGAAGGGATTTCCAACACTGACAGAGAAGGCATTTCCAACATTTATAGAGAAGAGAATTCTAATATTACAGAGAAGAAATGTCAACAACTTAATGATGACCGAAAAGGGACTTCCAACTTGTTTGACCTGACTCAATTATGACAAAGTTAGTGTTTAATGTAAGTTTTTTCTGTTGGTTCATAGGAATTATTAATGTCGATGTTGTTTTGATACAATTTGTATATAAACATAAAAATAATTATATATCAGCAGACAAGGCCCAATTGTATTCATAGTCTAGTCTACTCAACAATTGTAGTTTCTTTAACACAATCTCTCTCATATTTTTCCTCTATACTTATCTATTCATCAAACCAAATTTAAACTTTCTTTTGAAAAATGAGATACTTAGCATGGCTGGCCTGTTGATAAACAATAACATTCATTGTCTGTACTGCTAACAAGCAAGTCTTTACTTCCATTACAGATGGTTCGAGCTTTAAATGTTTATGCAATAGATGTGCGCTACATCCATGACAACATTCGATAGTAGAATCTCATCACGGCTAGACTTATGGCTGAAGGAATGTATCGCAACATAGAACGGAAGTATAAACATTTTGAGGAAACGAGCCTTCAGTGTTCTTCATAGACGTGGAGAGCTCTTGTTTCACAATGTTTAAGACGTAAATATTGCTGAAATCACACCATAAGCCAATCTGGAGCGATATCGTCAGCAACAAAATAAAGGCTACAGTTATAAAACAGAACTCTCTAAGCCAAGAGAGCCACTGCAATGAATCTTGTCATTTATCCTAGTGCCTCCGTACCATTAAAAGATAAGTAAACTAGCATTTAAAATCGACCTAAAGCTCACATTGTTTCAGCCGCACCTCAAAATCAACGACTTTTTTCATCTAAATACCGCCAAATCAAAAACAAAAAAATACAAAAATATCACTTCACCATATATATATATATCAGCTTCCCTTCACCCACAACCACCACCACCAGAAGAGCTTCGTTGATTGGAGTTTAGTGTCTTTGGTCTGTCTAAATATGATCTTGGAAGTCAACGTCCAAGTACAATGGAAAGGCTCTCGAGATGTAATAAAAGGTTGAGCTAGTCATCCTTTTTGGAAAGTGTGGTGTCGGGAGACAGTCTGTGTATTCAAGCACACAGCTCAACAGCTGACGTAGTTTTAAGAGTATTACAGAATTTGGAACACCAATTGTATAAAGTAGACAGACAGGGCATTTTCTATGCCTCTTATATTTAATAGATGTGATATTCACCATGTCTGTTTCGCTTTCGAACGTGATATCTGCAGTTTCTGTTATATTGACAGATGTGATAGCTATCATACACGTTCTGTTGACAGAGATGACATATGACATATCTGTTCCTTTAACAAAGGTGACGTCTACTATTTGTACCGTTGACAAATGCAATATTTACCATGTATGTTTTATGCTCACATCCTGCATCTTCATTTAATTATTCTACTCATAGATATCCAAGCAACTGAAATGCTTGTTAAAAATAAGGTTACTCACCTTGTGTTTTCAGTGAATACGGGATTACACAAAAACTGAAGACAATGATCCACGTCCACCCCTTGATGCTTACAACAAAGTGGGATATCTGGCAGTTGAGGATGTTGTAAATTTACAGCACTTTTGGTTGCAGAAGTTGCAGATAATGTGAGTGTACGAATATTATAAGTTGGAAGACTTCTGCCGTATCTGTTGACTGCAGTGAGAAACATTTCATACATCGTTTGTGGTTGCAAGTTTCTCAACAAAATAGTTGTTTCGTTCCCGTTAACCTAAGGCATAATAATTTAGTGGAAACAAGGTTAGAGTAGCAATCTATCTTGGCGTATAAAAGTAAGATAATTATAGTGGGAGTTTTTATTAATAGTTCTAAAAGTGTCAATGTCCTCAAGAAATACAATGTGGATAATGGCACACTTACCAAGTTTTAATACAGTGCAATAATATACACATACACATACTCAAATTAATGTGAAAGTTTTGCTTATTACTCTATTACGCTTAAAACATGAAAGTGTAGTTTACTGATTTATGTCTGGTTGACTGAAACTTCTGTGAATATCAAAACTTAACAGCTCGGAATATCTCTAGAAACAAAATCATATCTAGAACTATTTGACAAGTTACTCCTTAAAATTTAAAATATTTTTTAAATGAAATTATTTGTTTTAAGTTACTGAATTGTTACATATTCAACTATCAAGTTTTAATTTACTTTTACTAATGCTAATAATTATTTTAAAAAGGAACAAAATCAGTTGATTATAGTTTTATTTACACTGCCATCCATATAAATGATTTTAAGAATGGTTGCTAACATACACAGAGTAGTTAATAATTTAATAAGGCTTAAAGCAGGATTTCTATACTAAAGTGAAATTTACTGTTCTACTAGTGTAACACTCTTAATTGCATAATTCTACCATTCTATAATTAATATGTTTAACATATATAACTAAATTTTGAAATCCTGTTTTAGCCGTGAAAACATGTACACCTGTAATGGACATCTGAAGAGTTTTGTTATGGCTGTAGTCTTTATTGTAGGTGCAATTAAGTGCTATCTCAGACCTTCTGGGCCATTTGTGTGAGGTAGTGAGCATTAATTAATGTTCACATCTCGTACAACTGTCATATGCTGGTGGAAAGATATTTCAATCGTATAAATACCCATTGATCCTAATTATACTAGTAGTAGATCTTCAGTTTTGCTCGTGAGATTTGGAATAAATTTCGAGTTAATTTTGTTTTAGATATCAACCAAAAAAGACGTAGTTCCTATTTGTATTACATTCACTTATATTTAGTCCAATTATTTAAGTTCAATTTTGTTAAAATGACTTCGAGGTTCATCTTTGATCACCATTATCAGCGTATGTTATGCTTTTTGGAGTATGTCTAGTATCAGCAAATTCATCTTGTATATGTTGGGTACTTTTTTTTTACTTCAACACACTAAGTACTTTAGTAATAAGTTGGCAAACAACGAAGTATAAGCGCAATGAAGTGATTTATTTTTTGCAGTACATACTACATATTTCAACATAACATTGGTCTGTCCTTTTCAGCTGTAACGAAGACAGACCAATGTAGTATGTTCTCCTCAAAATATATCACTTCATTGTGCTTATAACTCATTCGCGCCTGAGGATTTAATCAATCAAGGAAGAAATATAATGCAAGAAACTTAACCCCATTCACAACGACCTGAGTAGTTAACCAACCAAGAAAAAACACTGATGATGAAATGTTCTAGCCTACTCACAACAGTATGATAATGTAAATACCCAGAAAAAAACACTCCGAAGAAACATATTTAACTTCTCCACATCCACCTGGTTATTTAATTACAAAGGAAAAAGTCTCATTTTGTAATTGAGTAGATTGAAAGTGAGTATGAAACACTCTTCAAATGAAGATTTAATTCATTAATATTTTCACTCACCCTTAGAAAAACACCTGCACACACACACACACTTTCAACTACTGCTGATGATATAATCATCAAAGGAAAATGTCACACACAGAAAACATTTAACTCCTTCACAACTGCCTAACTTACATCGTTGTTTGCCAACTTATTATGATAATGGCATAATGTGCTTCCTTACTCAGGCACCAAATACCTTGCTTCCACTTTAACTTAAAATATGTTCACTCTTCTGTTATTCTGCAGAGTTTAACTACCTATTTGATAAATTGATATGATAAAGATTAAAACTAGAACAGATGGAAATCAATACGGGATATTATTATTTGTAATACATAAATAACTACTAATTTGAACTGACCATATGAATACTAGTAGAGATGTCTTCCTGTTTGTCGTATACCACAGACTTCCCCTCTTTCTGTCTGCTTTCGATACTCTATTATAAAATAAACGTTCATCAGTTTTCAGGGATGGATGTTTAAAAGCTGGGCTAAATCATGGGTATCAACACAAATATACCAGAACAAATACAATATTGTAAAATAACTACATATGTGATATATAATTTGCTGTCTACTTTATATGATTTGAAATCAAATTTGCTATTGGCACCGAAGTGTTAACGTTCAGTGCAGGTATGGACTCTTATACCTTCTAAAAAAGTGTTCTGCTTACCTCATTAGTTATTACAAAGCCCAAATCATCAAATGAATGAAGTTTAGTAACATTCAGCTCATAATGGTTCACGTTAATTAACTGGTAAGGTCTTGTCCACGTCACTTCGATCTTATCACTTGATAATGGATTAACTGCAAAGTTTTGTGGTGAACCTGGCAATATATCTGAATATGAATAGACATATTTTAGTCAGCTTTTGATACCAAGAATACGTATTCTTCAACTCATACATTTATATATATATATATAGTTTATGTAGAAACTATAAATATACTTTATGGTTCCTCTATAAGAGTTACCCATTTTATAATGCTGAACTAATATTTTGTATTTTTATTACGAAAAAATGATAGTATTTCATTTGGAATATTATTTAAAAAAGTTGGTGCTTGATATAAATAATTTCTCGGTCGTATGAGTGTTAATACCTAATGGTCAATATTTTGTCAGAGTTACGTAAGATCTTATAAATATTTCAGATTTCATGTCCTTGCAACGAATATTCAGGATTCACCCATACCTACTATTAAACGTAATTTTAAACTTTTTCATGCTATAACACGTACACCCATACCTACTATTAAACGTAATTTTAAACTTTTTCATGCTATAACACGTACACCCATACCTACTATTAAACGTAATTTTAAACTTTTTCATGCTATAACACGTACACCCATACCTACTATTAAACGTAATTTTAAACTTTTTCATGCTATAACACGTACACCCATACCTACTATTAAACGTAATTTTAAACTTTTTCATGCTATAACACGTAAACAACTATTTTGAATGTTTACTTACTCAGCAATTATAAGTACAAGGCATATAATTGTAAACGTTTAATCATGCCAAGCTATTATAAGTACAAGGCATATAATTGTAAACGTTTAATCATGCCAAGCTATTATAAGTACAAGGCATATAATTGTAAGCGATTAATCATGCCAAGCTATTATAAGTACAAGGCATATAATTGTAAGCGATTAATCATGCCAAGCTATTATAAGTACAAGGCATATAATTGTAAACGTTTAATCATGCCAAGCTATTATAAGTACAAGGCATATAATTGTAAACGTTTAATCATGCCAAGCTATTATAAGTACAAGGCATATAATTGTAAGCGATTAATCATGCCAAGCTATTAAAAAAATTAAATATTGTTTCTTACCTATCCCTTCTGCAATGCAAGCAAGAGTTGGCATGGTGTAATTAACACAGGTGTAGTGCTGCAAAACTGTAGAAAGCTGATAATCTCCAATACACACAGACCGACAAATCTCGGGAATGTTTTCTCTTATGCAACAGGGCATGTGATCTCGCCCATCTGAAAAAAAGTGTTGATTCGCTGATTTATTAAAAGTTATACAAATATACAGCTCCTTATAAAAAATAATAGTAGAGGAGTGAGTCAGTGGTAAGTTCACGGACTCACAGCTCTAAAATCCGAAGTTCGATTCCCTGCAATGAAAAAAGCACAAAAACCCCATTGTGTAGCTTTGCGCTTAAAAACAAATCAAAAATAATAAACAATATTAATTACTTTTTAACACATACCATTGTTTCAAACTAAATGGAGATAGAATTTAGATAAAACAGTTAATTGAAATGTGATAAAAAATAACTCTAGTTCAATTCAAATTAACCGTAATTTAAACCATATAGAAAAAAGTGACAATTTTCCATAACTGTGTTCTAAACAATATTAATTAGTATGCAATCTTTATCCACACTAATTAAACGTGTTAAGAGCCATATTACCAAGAATGTAGCTCTGATCTCTTAAAATATAATCGTATTCTAAGCCAGGTCAATGAAATTATAACATTACCGATAAGAGAGTTATGAAGCATATCAGTGAGAATATAACGTTAAAAATAAAATAATCAAGAAACCAACCCTGAACCATTACAAACAATATTTTGAATAATTACACTCTGACTGGAATACTAAATCCTTGAAAAAACCAAGTACTCGGAATTGTGAAAGCTGTGATGTGTACGAGATAAAATACCTCTATTTCTGCAATCTGATCCACTAAAAACAACGGTTCTGGTCCAGTAAACAATAGTCCAGTAACTATTATGTATTACATATTAGTATACTCTAAATCATGTCAGGTAGAAAGTACATTGGCAAAACCAAACGTCATCTACTAGCTAAAGCCAATGGACACATTTGAATATGTAATTTGACCCATTAGAAACATTCTTGTTTTGACTTTTGTCACGAAGAAAAATGACTATGACTCATAACAGCTATGTACTAAACTGTCTCGGAAAAAAAATTGTAACGTTGCTCGTTATGGATTATAGTACTCTAAGATGTATCAGCGAAATGATAACTATTAAGCATAATAAATAACAGTATTCTGCAGGACTGACGGAAGCTCTATTACATTGTTAAGTTTTAGAAAGAACTGTAGCTGAAAAGGTGAATTGTATAGATCGGATACAATCGCTACACACAAAGAATAAGAAGTAATAATAATATTTAAAACAAACGCACGCAAACTACAGTATACAAAAACTGCCAAAACAACAGTTGAAAAATGTATAAATATAATTGACTTACAACTGTCAAATTATTTTACTTAGTCCATTTAGCATACGCAACAATTACAGTATGTGATGCACTGTTAGCACGACAAAATTTATATTATGAATATTAATTGATAACAAGATAAATAACCAAATATAACTATTAGCAGTTCAGTTATTACCTTAAAAAATACAGACCAACAATAGTTATAATAACTTTATAATATATAACGAGAAATAATTTTAGATCAACTTAGATCTTTTTTATCAACATCAGTTTTTTTGTTGCTGTTATTTGAAAAAAGGTGTCAATCTTCTTGGTTTTTTTTTTGTTATTTGAAAAAGGTGTCAATTTCCTACACGCCATTGTTTAAAATCGACACGATCCAACATAATTTTGTGTATTATTTATTAATCACCCAATGAAAACGAGTCTGTTTGTTTTAGGGCAAAGCCACATTCTGCTATCTGTTGTTTCCATCGCAGAGAATTGAACCACGGATTTTAGCGTTGTGAGTCTATAAACTTACCACTCTTCTACCGTGGCACTAAAAACGAGTCATATCAAACATTTTTCTGCCCATCTAATTAAATGAACCACTAAGCGCAGAATCAATCCTATAATAAATGTTCTAATTTCAATGATATAACACTTTTGACGAAGACATTAAGCTGGTTCATTGTTGAGTGGACAATTTAAGAAACTAACAAGTCATATATATCTGATTCATGGGTTTTTTGAGTTCTTTGTAATTAAACATATAATAATTTGAATTAATTTAGGTGTATGGATAATAGTATGTCATTACGTTTAATTTATTATCGATATTATACAGCGGACCAACCGTTTAATCATTCTATACATATGTTACTGATTTCTTATCTTTTTTCACTTAAAGTAATATTAGCAGAAGGCCTCTTCTGTGTTGAGGAGGCCTTCTGCTAATAAAGCTTAAGTAGGCGAAACTGCAGTCCACAGCAGTGAGTGTGACCAACCAAAAAATGCATTAGGTCTCTACGTCATGCCCCCCAGTAGCACAGCGGTATGTCTGCGGACTTACAACGCTAGAAACTGGGTTTCGATACCTATAGTGGGGAGAGTACAGATAGCCCGTTGTGTACCTTTGTGCTTAACTACAAACAAACAAACCCTACGTCACAGATGATATTTTAAATTTTACCTATGGTTAAAAAGAAAAGAAATCCGTTACATATATATCTGCCGAACCATTTGGAAACAGGAAGAAGCCGATTCATTGATTTGTTTGTTTGTTTCTAGTTAAGCATAAAGCTATACGATGGATTACCTGTACTCTGCCCGAGCACGGGTAACTAGGTTTTTTTGCATTATATGTCCACAAACGTACTACCATGCCACTAGAGAGCAATTCATTGAGGAAACAATTGTGACTCTGGAGTATAAAAATTAAAATAATATGACAGAAAATAATATATGTTGTGCTCTAAGCTGTTAAAGGTTAATGCATTTGTGATAATAACGTTTAAAAATCTGAAACATGGAAAAATTGATCTTAACACGTGCCTATTTATTGTAAAATAAAGTAAGTCAATTTACTGAACAAAATTACTCAACCGTGAAACCAAAAAAAAAGACATGTGTTTTAAATAGAATGAGTATTATAATACAATGAATCACTGGTGATAATTGAGATCTGATTCTTCTAATGAAGAAAATGAGATAAAAGTATAACAGAATCAATGCATCTGATCTTTATAAGTTTATGCTCTATGATATTGCATACTCCTAATTAGACCGGTTTACTAAATTAGCTATATTAGATTTTAATTCTGACCTATATATAAGTAGCTTGCTTCTAAATGAAGAAATATTATGCTGTTTAATGCCTATCACGTATTTTTTTCCAGTACATTGAAGAAACAGCTGAGTTTAAGGTCGATTATGTTTGAGTCACTTATTAAAGTTTCTGGTGTACAATAACAGTTGTTAGAAACTTATAATAACCAAGATGCCTAGCTAGTTTTGGGGATTAATTAAATCTGTTGGAAACAAAGTCTTCAATTATTATTTTTATTAGTACAGGAAAACAAGTGTTTGCTAACAATAAACAAATACATAAATATAAACCTAAAATAGCAAAACAAGTTACTTACATATTAATTGTGCTTTACATACATATACTCTTTCATAAATGTATCTCATATTACAAATAGATTTATTACGTTATTACTAGTATTAAATAATCTCACCTGCTAAACAGGAAACGATATTTTTAACATAATCCACACATTCACCTGGTTCTGGTTGGTATCCCAAAATAATATCGTGGAAATTACATAGACTAAGGCAAGAACTAGGCACACCATTTTGCACACAGCAATCTGAAATTAAACATTATATAATATTTTCTAAAAATGGATTTTACAGATGCAAGATTATTTTTAATGTTCACTTCTAAACACTTTCTTAACACTATCCCACCAAAGGAGATGTGTAAGCTTGAATTACAGTAGTTAAAAATGTAAGAGAAATTGATTGTGTTCTAATCATTTCCATTTCCTAAAATTATATCATTTTAATAGTAAATACATTTCTTCGTGTATGTAACTTATTCAGCAGCGTTAAAACGGTCCCAAAAATATTGAAAGGTCAGGTAGGTCTACGTAGCTTCGCCGGTCATTTTCTGAACCTTATTAACAAAATAGTAACCATGTTTCATTACCCTTGAACATCTTTCAACGTACAAGAAATAAAACTTAGTGAGAGAGTTCGTGTGAAAATACGTTTTTTAAAACACTTTATATCTTTACTATAATTTAGCGCTGAACTAGCAACATTCACTGGTCTATTGCAGTTATATTACGTGATGTATTGCCATTTTACTTTTTATAATTTATTCCATCAAAGCAAAATTCTAAAGTAATTGAATCAGCCTGAGTGTACTTTGGCAAAAGGAACAGCGGATCTTCAGAAGAAAGAAGAGCAAACGATTACGGTAACTCGTGCCACAATTGTAAGTGAATCACACTCAGAGTACTAATGCGATAGTAATAGAGAAGATATTTCGGCTTGTCAACTGAAATTCTAAAGTAATTGAACAGGCCTAAGTGGACTTTTGACAAGACGAAGAGAACTATATATATATATACATACACACACACACACATATATATATATATAGTGTTTATGATATGCTTATAATCTCCATAGTGTGAAGAATTTGTTGTACAAACGTTTAATTTGTTTCAAATATATATCTATATATTATTTTGAAAACAAGTGAAGAGTGTACTGTTCATTTATCATTGAATTTATCACTAACAAGTCACCGACACCTACTGTAGAAGAATCATAAGCCCAACAACAACATAGCATATATTTATATTATTAAGAAATATAAGTAAAAGCCTTTTAAATTCTGACAACTGGCAAAAAGAACAATATTTTTTTAATTCTGACAATAATTAGTATACTGAATAACTTACTTTCACATCTGAAAATGATTCTTAATTATATCCTTATAGAATATACTTTACAATAAAAATAAAACTATGTTCACTATACTTTAACTTAAATAGTGATGATAAGCCTTTGTATGTCACTATATTTAAAAGTCAGTAAACATAGTTTATTGATTCTTTCACTTTACAAAAACACTAAGTGTGATACTCTGTTTTGCAAGATTTGTTCAATATGTTCATTTCAGTTAGAGTATAATTCTTGTATACTTTCTACTCAATTAGATTCCACGAACTGACTATTCATGTTTCTAACAAATGTGGTTAAACGTCTAATACAAGTCTCCATCTATATTTTCTTATAGAAAACTCGTGTTTCGTCATAGCCCAATATGTTGTAAGCAGGTATCATTCAGATATGTAAGTAGAATTACATAATTAAGAAGTACCACACATGCTGAAATGTTTATTAACAAAACTTCAATAATTAGATACACTGGTATATTATTTACGAAAACTACAAACATTTTAGTTTATAAAATACTGAACTACACCCAAGTGTAATAATACCTGCAGTATATACTTGTTCTAGCGTATGATTAGTCAAATAGAATAAATAACCATGAATGAAGCATAAGAAACATTTCTCAAAGTTATTCGAGCTAATATATTATAGAAAGTTTCTTTATTGTACAGACTCCAGAAAACATATCATGCCCTTGAAATCCGTCACTAAAATGAATGTCCCCCATCGTGCTGAACATGAGATCTTGACCCTCACATTACCCCTCCTCTTCAGCTTAAAATTGACGTGTTTCACCATTGCTTAATGTTATATTATCAATACATGTAAGCAAAATCACAGACATCACAAGTATAATACATACTGAAGCATTTATTAACAGAACTTCAAGTTAGAAAAAGACGACTTTATCCAAGATTTATCAAAAATAATGTGTATGTATTCTATTTTAAGAACAAACAGAATATGTAAAATAATTCTGATAACAATAAAAAGTTCATGACAAAATATCCCAGTTTGTTGTTTTTATTATTTCTTACTGTAAGAGATATACTCTAGAAGAAAAGAAACGTTTAATTCTTTGTCATTTTATAAATACATCACGTTTATTGTCACAGAATATTCTTTACAACCAAAATAAGTTGTAGGTTCACTATACTTTAAGTAAAAAAAGAACTTATCTATTCTTACACTATATATAAAGATACAGATAGCTTAACGTACATTCCTGACATTCTCTTTTGTAAGATTTGAGGGTGCATTTGGAAGTTGTTTTCTGTGCTTAAGTTACTGCTTTCGATCTAGAATTCGCATATTTGTAGTTTAAAACTACTACTGTTTACAAATATTAGTGACTAAGGTCTATACATAATCAATTTTTTTCAGAATGTAATTATTTAGACACGCAAAGAAATAAGAGTATTGCCCATCTTACAATTTGGGTTATGTTCTTCAAATTTATCCAAGAGGCAAATTTTGCTGACAAGCTAGATAAACTTTGATATTAAAGAATAACACAAACTGAAACATATATGGAGTACAGAGTTGTCAAGATTAAATTAACTTTCATACAAGTCTAGTACTTTTCAATTAGTGTACAGTTCTTTATATTTTCTACTCAATTAAACCAATGAACTGAATGTTTCCAGCTTCTATTAACAATACTTCAAGTATTATAGGGGATTGTGATCTCAGATCAATTGTTTAGGTTTATAGCTACACATCATAGTAAACTTGCAAAATGATTTATCAAAGACAAAATTGAGAGCTCTATTTTTCTGTGAATCATCCATCCAGGCATATAGCCCTTCTTATATTGACACTCCACTTCACTACTATATACTGCCTCTGCAGTGTCTATTTTCACTGGCGAAAAGAAAATCTTTCAGGGACTCTTGTTCGATGGTAGTTTTGAGGTCTCATGCTGAGACCATTCACTTACATGGCCGAGGATACAAAAAGCATAGAATATTGTTACAATAGACAGTAACAGTTTCTCTCATATTAAGAATCCCTGAAAAGTTTTATTTTCACTGATGAAAATAGACATTGCAGTGACAAGAGGCTCCATGTTGTATACTTATTTGACATCAAAAGATCATTTTCATCAAAGATTCCAAAAACTCTGAGAGTAAATAACCTTCGTATCATTCCTACTAGACACTTTTGGCTCCTTAATATACAAGGGAAACCACACTACCGACTATTGGAGTTCTTGTCTGTGCGTTTTGGACCATTGGCTGTGTATGCGGATGACCTTGGCATAAGTCCTCGACGAGTACCTGAATGTTTTTCATTTTGCTAATGAAAATAGACATTGCTGTGGCAGTATATATATTAGTAACGTGAAGTGTCAATTTAAGAAAGGCTACATACCTAGATGGATGATTCACACACAAAAAGAGGTCTCCTTTTTGTCATTGATAAGTCATCTTGCAAGTCTACTATGAATGTTTAGTTATAAACCTAAACAACTGATCTAAGATCATAATCCCTATCTAATACTTGAAGTTTTGTAAATAGATGTTATAAACATTCATTTCATGGGTCTAATTGAGTAGAAAGTATAAAGAATTGTACGTTAACTGAAAAGTACTAGACTTGTATGAAAGTTAATTTAATCTTGACAATCCAGTGTTCTATGATCCATATAGGTTTCAGTTTGTATTATTCTTTAATATCAAAGGTTATCGAGCTTTCAGCTTGTCAGCAAAATTTGTCCCTTGCATAAATTTTAAGAACACAACCCAAATTGTAAGATGGGTGATATTGTTATTTCTTTATGTGTCTAAACAATTATATTCTGAAAAATTGTTTGTTTGGTTTATAGCAAAACCAAGTTTTGCTATTTGCTTTGTCCACCATGAGGAATCGAAACCAGGATTTTAGTGGTGTAAGTCCATAAACCTACTGCTGACCCACTGGGGGGCACATTTTGGTGTTCTGTAGTTTTGATAAGTTATATATGTAAACAATAGTAGTTATAAATTATAAATATTTGAGTTCTAGATCGAAAATAGAAAATAACTTACTAAAGCACCCTCAAATCTTGAGAATATTATGAATGTACATTAAGTTTTCTGTATTGTTATGTGAAGTACAGTGAACATACAGCTTATTTTAGTTCTAATGTATATTGTGTAATGATAAATATTGTACAGTAAACATGATGAATTGAAACATGAAAAAGAATAGATGTGTCTTACTTGTAGACCATATCTTTTGTGGTAAGAAATAATAAAAGCAATGAGATTGAAATATTTTGTCAAGAACTTTTTTATTGTTAGCACAGTTACTTTATAGATTTTGGTTGTTCTTAAATATTCAAATGCATACACATTATTTTTGATAACCTTGGATAAAGTCGTCTTTTTCTAACATGAAGTTTTGTTAATAAAGGTTTCAGTATGTGTGTTACTTGTAAAGTCTGTGGTTGTACTTACATATGTTGATGAGATCATATTAGGCTAAGGTGAAACGCGTCAGTTTTAAGCAATAGGGAGGGCTAATGCGAGGGTCAAACGGTCTAACGTTCAGCATGAAGGGGATAGTCAAATTAGTTATGGATTTCAGGTGCATGATATGTTTTGTAGAATTTCTAAATGAAAAACGTTCTATGGTCATATTAGCTCAAATAACGTTGAAAAATGTCCCCTATGTTTCCTTTACGGTTATTTACTATTTCAAGACAAATATATTTCAGATATCACAATCAAATTGTAATTACCATTTAAGGAACGACCCACAAGTAGTTTTCACATATAGTCTAACAATTTATGAGGATTAATGAAATAATGGCCTTTAGCTTAGGTGAACTGAATTTATTAATATTTTTTATGATGTTGTATTTAAAAATTATTCTTTAAAAAGTTGATGAAACATGTAAAAAGTAAAAGAACACAAAGATATTTTCTGTAAAATATGTGGGTTTACTAGTTGGTAACCATCATGTTGCCTATCATCTAATCTCTTTTTTACTGTCGCCCCCCCCCCCCAGTGGCACATCGGTGTGTCTGCGGACTTACAACACTAGAAACCGGGTTTGGATACCCGTGGTGGGCAGAGCACAGATAGCCCTTTGTGTAGCTTTGTGCTTAACTACAAACAAACAAATATATTACTGTCCCTTACATGCAATATTCACATGCTTTAGTGCACCATTTTCACACTATAAAAGGTGTTTTAAAACGCATAAAAATTGTTTAAGTTACTGTACCATGAATGCAACACCTTTTAATGGTGAATACTTTATCTGACTTTTAAGGTGCTGGCCTAACATCCTTTGTTTTTACAGTGAATTGTTCCAAGATGCATTTTGTAATATTAAATATCAACTAAATATTACAATATAATTTTTGCATTTTGTAATATTAAATATCAACTAAATATTACAATATAATTTTTGAAAGATCTGTGCCACAACTTTCTTACATGGAAAACAAACAATTTTTCTGTATCTATTCAACAACATTAACCACTTAGTGGTTGCTTAGTCATCCCACTCAACATATAAAAAGAGCCATTATACCATTTAAAAACATGAACTTATTATAACTTATTATACTTAGTACTGTTGTAGTGTGGTGTTGTAAAGAAAATCTGGACATAAAGTAGTTTGTACTGACTTATGACAGGTGATAGATCCAAAGATTAAAAGCCATAGCAATGATAACATAATGGATGTGATTTATCTTTTGAAGAACACATATGCAGCAGCAAAAGTATTAGGGGGGTAGAATTGGATAGGTTTTACCTGCTAACTAATGGCGAATACTTTATCTGACTTGATTGTATAACTTTCAGCTTGTATATCTGTCTTCCATATTCTATCTTTGAGGAATATCTGTGTAAGGTCTGCACAAACCTATACAGAGATTTCTCCTCATTACACTCTGTATTCGATTATCCAACACTATTCTGTGTAGAATTCTGGTTTAGGAAGATACTTTTGCTATCAAAAATAGCAATACAATCGGCTCATTCTGTTTTGGTGAGCGATTTTGTTCCTTTGTTCCTGTTATCCAAGAATTGGTGTTAACCATAACCATCCTCTTGCACGGAACCTTCAGACAGACGGGAACAATGATTTTGCTGACATTGTTTTAGAAGACGTGTATCTACAAAAAAGTGCCAAGTATACATTCCAGACACAAAGGTACAATATGCACAAATGGTCACTTGTCAAAGAAATGAAGGTTGAATCAAGTGATAGGTCTATTGCACCAACCTTTGAACAATGCCTTGCTTATGAAGAAAAAAAACTGATGTTGCAATGAATTATCACGTATTTTGAAAGTATTCACATATGGATACAACCACATGTATGACTGTTGTGGATAAAAGGTTAAGGGATGTATAAGATTTCCCTCAGGAAACTTGTCAGAAAACACAGGGGTGATTCTATCTCTCTGCAAAAGAGGTTCCTGTGAGAAATCTATTTGTAGTAGAAACAATAAATGTCACATTAAATACTGGGCTAGGATTTACCAAACTACATAATCTTTTCAGAGGGATTATGTGACAACTGTTAGTACTTTTTGCAATTGCTATCAGTCTGATCTCATAAAAAACAATTGAGATGATACTTCTGTTACATAAATCAAACTCGAATTGGTGAAATAACCCATCGTACACAAACAGATTGAATGAAGAGTCTGAAGGTTTAGCGTGAAAGAAGTTGATTTGGAAAAAGGTTGAAGCAGGCATTGTGGCTTTGAAATTTCCATAGTTGTCTGAAAAAATATCTGTTATCGTTAACATTAGATGTGTATTAACCGAAACAGATGGTATCATACACATAATATCATCTACGTAATTGATGAACTGTGAGATGCATAGGTCAGTAGTGAATGATATGGTTAGGTCCTTCTCTCTGCAAAGAAGTGTGTGTCAAGTAGGATGTACTCTCTCTGTATTCAGTAGAACAGTCATAATGATCCTCCTATACTAATGTGGTATTGCCTGTATCACCCAGGTGCAAGAGCAGTAAGGTGTTGTGTTCTGATAGTGTCAGTAATATGGTTCCTGGGAATCAAATGGCAAAAATAACACAGAGTCACAAGCTCAGCTTCTGTACCTTAATGTTTAGGCTGCTGTACCAACCATCAGTGCCACTTATAATGAATCTGACAATAATTTAAGATAGAATGTGAGCACTTCGTGCACAGGGCATATAGAAAGTGTCATTTTTGTGAGCAAGTTGTGGTTTCTAACATTTGTAGGATAAGGTGAACATAATATATGTAAATAAAGAAACTTAAATAATAGATAAAATTCCCTTTTGATAAATCCTCGTTCTCTTTGAAACGACAGAAATACCACTGCAGTATAAGTGAAATGAAACTGTTTAAACCATTGAGACTGGTATAAAGAATGAATGTGGCTTTCAATGTTATGTTACAAAGAATAAATATAGCTTACCTTTGTAGTTGTGCTTTATTGAAAACGGTGTGCTGACTGGAGTATCTACAACTACAACAACAACAAAAGGTAAATTAGATCAATTGGACTTAAACTTTGCTTTATAATTATTTTAGTCAAGTAGTTTTAACAGTTTCATTAAAATATACAGTATATACAAGACTGTTTAGTGTAAGAGCTATTATTTAGTTCATTTAGTGATCTAATATTCACTGATTATTTAGTTTTTATAACAAGAGTGTTAAAAGTAATTGTTTTAAAAGCGAGTTATGACCAATTTCGTTACGTAACTCGGTTAGGGTCGTATGTTGTGTGTATTGTACAATTGTTGTAAATTGAAGTCACATTACTCGAATCTTCTGTATTTTTCTAGTTGCCTTAAGTGAGTATTGTTACATCATAGCGTCTCGTAGTTTGTGGAAAATTCTAGGACTCAGTTGGTTAATGTATATATATATATAGATAGAGACGACCAAATGAGCGCAAGTTAAGTCAAGCCAGAAAAAGTTAAGTTAGTGAAAGTGAAGTTAGATTGCATGATTGTTAGTTTAGCAATAACCGGCGATATTTAAAGTGAGTGTCACAGTGGTATTGTAATGACAGAGATAAAGAATAATAATTTGTCTTGTCAAAGGGTGTTCTAACGAAACTGAACCCACCCGTGTGGACTTTGATGGAAAGGAGACAATTATTATGGATGTAACTGTAGTAACACAAGGGGTAACGTAAGTGAACTTAACACATATTGTATTGTAAAAAATAGAGTAGAGAAACATAATTAGTCTTGTCCATTGGGTTCTAAAGTAACTGAACTGGCCTGTGTGGAATTTTGACAAGAAAAAATAATTGTTTAGTTTTAGATACAACTGTAATACCTTATAGTGTAAAGAATTTTTGTACATACATTTGACTTATTTTGAATATATTATTTTAAAACAAGTGGATTGTGTGATGTCCATTTATTTTTCGAATTTATCGCCAACAAGTCACAGACAGCTACTGTAAGGAATCCAGCTTCATAAAAGCCTGACATTCATATCAAATTAACGGCAATATTCCTTTCTAATGTAGCTTTGCGTGAGGGAAGATAGTTATGTTTCATGAATCAAATGATATAGTTGAAATAAAATAGTATTTACTACCAACAATAATTGTTATTTGTATATTCATTTATTTTAATTGAATTCATAGAAACTAACACGAAAGCAGAATACACGATATTGTTATTTTATCGATAGTTAAACATCATTACTATAATTTGTAGATGGTAGAAAGTTTATTATTTTTGTATACTTATCAAGAGGAAAGAGCACTAGATGAGAGCTTACCAGTAAGAATTCTGTAAACCCTAAGAGGTAACACTGTATTCACTTCACATATATATCGGCCAGTATCCTGCTCTGTCGATGACGAAATTTTCAAAATCCACCTTGAATGATCTGAAGTAATAAAAAAAAGATACACAAGTTTTTGAATTCCCAGTTAAGTAAGAAATACATATCAAATATTATTACAAAACAAAGCGTACTGTTTGTGTACATAGATCTTGTCTGTATACTAGCACTAAAATTTTAAACAAGCAAAAACTTACTACAAACATTGACTCTCTCTGTAACTAAGGTAATTTTCAGTTCCCAATTGCATCAATATTGAGATTCGAATGTTTTAAAAATTTAAATACTATTATTTGGTTTATAAATCAAATAACTTCGAGCTAGCTTCTGAGTTTTAAGCACATAGAAACTAACTTTTGGTCTCTATCTAACCAGCACACAAATGCATAGGTTAACAATCTTAATGCTAACAGCGAAAGTTTCAGCATAATGACTTTGAACGTAGGCTTATTCATTCTTTTATAATAATTATAGCTCTTCCATCATAAAAAAAAGAGATATGTTCTCTGAAGTTTTCAATTTTGAACTTTATGTAAAAAAGTAAAATTATAATAATTTTATGACCAACCCAAATTCTGAGCAAACCTATCACTAAATATAATTTATTTGAAGTGTCACTGCAAAACAATATTTTTCTTTATAAGTTAATCTATATAATTGTTCTGTTAAATTTCTTTTTATAGAATCTGTGTAACTAGGTATATTTAACCGTTACTATTGGAAATATATATATATATATATTCTGACCTTCCTGTAGATATTTTCACAAATCTTTGTCTAGAGCTTGTTTCTTGCTAGTTTGGAAATTTACACTCAATGATGTCAAATCTGTACTAAAACTAATAGCATATGGACATTCTTTTTGTTTCTATTTGAGGGTCATTAATTTTGAACATAAATGATAGAACTAATTTCCAAACAGTGTGGACACCTAAGCCCTACTCATATTTATTTTAGCTGATCACAACCTTTTAGTAAGCTTAAAAGCCAGTAAACACAGTTTATTGATTCTTTCATTTTACATAATGATACAAAACACTAAATGTGTATTCATAATATTGTATTTCTCATGATATTTTTCAAGTATCACACATACTGAAACATTTATTATGAGAACTTCAAGAATAGATACACTAATGTACTATTTACAAAAACTAAAAACATCTTAGTTTATAAAGTACTGACCCACACCCCAATGTAATAATATATGTGGTATATACATATTCTGTCATGTGATTAGTCAAATAGAACAAGTCACCATAAATTAAACATGAAGGACATTTCTCAAATTGATTCAAGTTAATATAATCATAGAAAGTTTCTTCAATTAGATATTCTACAAAACATATCATGCACTTAAAATCCATAGCTGACTTGACTGTCCCTGTCATGCTGGACATTAGATCTTTTGACTCGTTTATTACCCCTCCCCTATCACTTAACACTGATGTGTTTCACCATAGCCTGATATGGTGAAACATTAATATATTAATTTACTTACATTAATATATGTAAGTAAAATCACAGAATGCACAAGTAACACACATACTGAAACCTTTAACAAAACTCCAGGTTAGAAAAAGATGACATTATCCAAGATTATCAAAAATAATGTGTAAAGATTTAAGAACAAAGAAAATCTGTAGAATAATTGTGATAACAATAAAAATAAAGTTCTTGCCAAAATATTTCAATTTCATTGTTTTTATTATTTCTTACCATAAAAGATATAGTCTACAAGAAAATGCACATCTATTCTTTCTCAATCTATAAATCCATCATATTCACTGTATAATGTCTGCTGACATTTAAATACAGTGACATACAAAAGCTTAGTAAAAGGTTGTGATGAATCAGACTAATTATCCATTAGGGCTGAAGTGTCCACATTGTTTGGAGATGACTTTTAATAATAGTAAAATAAGTAAGTAATGATACCCTATGAATATAAAATAGAGATTTTTACAGATTTAATTCGGCCATTACTAATTAATGTTGTTCAGCTAAGAGAAACCCACACTTTAAAAATGATCCGAATTCATGCAAAATTAAACTTATAACTCACACCAGTAGCATTAATGAACTTCTGGTTCTTTAATAACTTCACTCAATGACGTAAACATTGATGTTAATAAAAATAGCTAACAGGAATCGACCTATCTTATACGTTTGTCCTGAAAAATATGATCCTCAACAAATATCTCACTTGATCTCTTTGGATAATTCTATTTATTCAAGTCCAGGTGATTTTATTTGCCAGCAGATCACAATCCCTTAATTCGTATGATTAAACAAAATTTAGGTAAAACTTTTAATTTAATGTAATTTAAAGAATATTATTTGAATATTACATCTATAACTGTAATTCAATAAACTGAATATTTATCATTTATTGTTTTTAGAACATCATTGCGGAATACCCCCATAACCGTACAGTCTATGATTGTCAGAATAGAGTAAAACTAAACAATAAGCATGTTATCAAAACAATGACATTAATGATCATGCCAAAACGACGTGACAATTTTTGTGGGAAAGTTTAAGGGTTTTCTTTTGCAATATATTTCTAAAAACACTTTTAAAGACGTATTCAAAAGTTTCAACGATATTTTGTAAAGTTATCATAAAAGGTAAGTTATTTTACATATCCTGATATATTGGGCTTAATGAAATCAAAGTTTCTCATTTCGTGGAGAAGTCTTTATTAAAATATCGGTTATTTCTAGTTTGTTTGTTGTTGTTTCAAATATCAGCATCAGTTTTAACATTTGGAATTACTGGTAGTAAATTTCAGCGTAGTAGCAAAATGCAAATGTTGCTTTCTGCCGTAACTCAAGTTCGTTCTGCTCATTTTGGAAACAGACAAAGCTACTTCTCCAATAAAATGCTATCCTTGATGTAAACATATTTACATAAAAGGCTAACCTGGTTCATGGATAACAGAAATTCTTTGGTCAGTCGTCACTCTTATTCTCCCTGCTGTCAGAACATCAGAAGTAGCTTTTCCATTACCAACCCTTTTCCAGATCATCTGAAAGATAGAGAGTATCATGATATAATTACTAATGGAAAATAAAACTTATCTCGACAACACTGATATCACAGTTATATAGACGCTCATGCCACTTACACTGACTCCTGCCCTTTTTGTAACAGTCACTTAATCTTTCTTCAATAACGCTTCTTAACAAGTACAGTATACAGTGTTAAAATACACATCTGACCCAATTTTGAAAACTGCTTTTTCAAGCAAATATGTAATTTCTTTGGAAGCTGTAAATTATAGAATGTTACATACTGTATAATTGCCTATGTTAGTGACTACACAGTCCAAATAAGCTGCATCCCCCTCACTCACCACTACAGGCTCGATTGCTGTTGTTTCTATACTAGGTTCACCTGAAAAAAAAACAACAACAACAAAAAAAACTGTTTAAATTTATATAAAAAAAGCAGACATACAAAAATAAAATGGTTTTCTACTTTTCAGGCGTAGTATTCTATTTTATAAGTAAGCTCAAACTCAATACAACTTTTCCCTGTGAAAGATTCAACTCTTGAAAAGTTACAGCATTAGTTCTTCTTTATATTAAATAAAACATAATTTCATGCATCAGTTGTTATTTTTATGGTATATATACTTTTATGTTTCGGCATATTATCTTAAGGTCTAGTACAACACATAATGAAGAAAATATAACACATCTGACTATTTGTAACTCTTTATTAATGTATTATGAAAAATTCATTGCTAACCAAAAATGTGCATTACATTAAAACTTAGCTTAATGTTTTCCTTCAGACAAGCACTAACCATAACTTATTATGTTCTTGAACATTTTTTCAAAGTTCGAAAGTGTGCCTGGCATTAAGAGGTAGAAAATTTATCTTTAATGCAAGTCTAGAACTTATCAATTTGAAGGTAAAATACGTCCTTATCTCGACACGAGATCAAAGACTACCTGGAGAGAATGTCGTCGACCTTGGTTGTGGGTGTCATCGACACTTTAACCCTGACTTATCATTCAAGGCTGTGTTCGAAGGGTTACTTACTGCATAAAAATATGAGACAAACCAGCATCTTACATTTTGAGCGAGAAATACAAATATTTTTGTGACTCCACCAAGTTATAAGAAACGTTGAAAATACTACATAATGTTACTCACCACAAACAAGTTCCACCATTAAGAGGAGTACAGTAGATTTCGGAAACAGCATTTTGGCTACGATACTATATCAGGATCAAACACTTTCCCTAGCTTTTTATTGCATAACTTTCGATCAGCAATCAGGTTAAGCTAAAGGTTTAATGGCAAAATAATATCCCAGAATTTTAAATTTCCTAAAGCTTTATACCTATATTTGATTTTGCCAATTTTTATTATTATTCTTTATATATTTTTTTGCCTTTCTATATTGTTGCTGGTATTAAAGTTCAATTCTTGTATGTAAATTTCGTAGATCCAAAGCTATTATGAACACAACTTCAGTGAAGTTTATCGATTTAATCGAATATGTTATGACAGCTATTACCGCATATGATCTTAGCTATGAATGTTTTTATAAAGCAGCTACGATGGTTCAAAAAGGGTATGCACTGTCTCAGTCCGGATATGTCTCACTCTGGAATCTCTCTTCGCTTCGAAGTGTTTCTACAAAATGCTTAAAAAACAAAACAAAAAAAAACCATGCAAAGATCATAAATTTCATACTCTCATTTCATATTCAAATAAAAACTTAAACTGGCTTCAAAATTCTATTAAGCTAATTAATTTAGTAAAGTTTTACAAGGAGTATGTACTGTAATGTCATAGTATAATGTTTTTGCTGTTGTCGTTCTAGCACAAAGCTACATAATAGGTTAACTGCACTATGTCTACCTGATGGTGACAGAACGTTGTCGAAACTTTGTATATTTATCACTATGTCAAACTCAATGGTGTAGTACTAGCTCTGCCAAAATATGTCAGAAGTGTGACGTCATCATAAGCTCAAAGGCTAATTTCAATTTCTTGAGTCCATTTTGAATAAAGAAAATATATTCAATACCAGTTATTTGAGACTACTTACATTAAAGCCAAACTGGATCCGCATATAGTAGCGAGAGAAAACTCGTAACTTAACTTACTTTAAATTAAGCAGCAAGGCAAAAAAACAAACAAACAACAACTACTGTGTTCCAAATAAAATCACTGACATTAAAACAAGTTTTAAAATCACATGTCTTATTAATTTACTATATTTTCAATTGCACTATAATATTAGCAGCCTTGATTTTTAGAATGCTTTGCATACATCCTATCCTTGCAACATTAATAGCTAGCTAATGGAGAGACCTTTGGTTAAGTGTTTGCTCATGAACGATACTTAATTTCAGGAGTAAGTTTAATAACTATTTAACATTAATATTTTTAGTTTTTGATATGTCGGGACTCAGTTCCAATTTCAGGTGACGGAGCGTTGCTCCAGTACGCTTCAGCAGCACTACACCCCTGGTTAAACTTGTAATAATGTTTTCTTCATTACCCCTTCAAGCTGTCTCCAAGTTTGTTATACTTTTGAACAATCAGCAATTCTGATGTTTCCTAAAACAATAAGAGAATCATCAGTAAAACTGTCATCTTCAAAGACGGTGTTGCGCTGCTTATTCACTTTGGCTCCCCAGATACGAATCTATCTACCATTGATAGGTCGTCTTTACAAAACGTTAAACTACTTGTACAGTGTTATGCAGTCATCTTCCACGCTCAGTCAGGCCTTATTGTCTTTAAACCAAACTTAGAAAATCTGTTCCTTAGTAATATTCCAGTTTATGTCCTAAAGTCTATATTCAGTCCGTGGGCTGTATGCTGGCGATTCTTAATGGCCATGTTATGCATATAGCAGTCTGGTTATGTGACATAGTTTACCGCCTACTACCTTCTTCAAGCTACATAACTTACATGTCTGTATGTTTGTCTGACTTTCCCAATTTTGAACAACTTTGACAGTCTGTATTTCTGTCAACTTTCATCCATTAAAAGCAAGTAACAACCTGACACAAGTGCACAGAAACCATCAGCACATTTCCAAGGACCACTAAAACAGGAAATGAGCAAATCTGATGATGAAATTCAAGAATTTTTCCCCGTTTTCCTAGGGGGTGGGGAATAGCATGTGCAAAAGTACAGTAAAACCTCGACATTATGGGCACTCTTCCGACTACATTAAAATGCCCTCTATAACAAGGTGACGTTAATATAAAAAATGAGTCATTGACTGTATTAAATTTTTGAATTTTAAGGCCCCATTTTGTTTGGTGTATGCAGGACATGGGTGTTCGTGAGTTTCACGTTTCCATGACATGGAGCATTGTCAACAGGAGGTCAAAGGGGTGGATTTGCTGTGCCCTTTTTTTCTTTATTATTGATCACAAAGTTTCCAAGTATAATACTTATCTTCAGAGTTTGAACTGCTAAACATTTCACATTTATTTCCTGTGTTTATTTTACTGTCAAAGACTGAGGTAGAAACCTGCTGAAAATAAAGCAACAAATCACCGCTTGTGTCATTGGAGTGTTTACGTGACACCATAATACGATACTCTCGAGAGCAACAAAGTATGGGCACAGAAATAAACCGACTTGACCACTTCTTAGTGATGTTGAATTTATCAGCTTATGTATCTACAGTGTTTACAACGAGAATTCCCCAGAGTAATAACATTGCACTTTGAATATGTGAAAACGTTTATTAGAGTATATGGTTCGAAGCCGATCCAATAAACATTATAAGTGTTTGAATATTGGTCATCCTCCTGGGATGTTTGGAATTTAGCAGTAACCATACAGGCATACAAAGATAACTGCCCGCTTTATCGAGTATAGAGAACGAGACTAAAGACACGGTCCTTAATCAAGAATATCGAGGTGCCCATTATTGCAAGATCTATTTTGGTTACAAATAGTTGAAAAAAAGAAAGAGACTGAAAAGGTCTGCCCTTAATGGTGCAGTGCCCGTTAATCGAGGTTCTACTGTATGTCTAATCAGTCGTACACCTTACAGTAGAACAGGCCCGAGCGTGGAATAATGGTTAGCTTATTCTACTGAGATCGGAAAATCTCGGTTTCGAGACGTCTTGTTACTGAACACACTTCGCGCTTTCATCTGTAGGTGCGTTATAAGAGTAGTTCAGCCTGAGCCGTACTTTAGGGTGAGCTGGGAAGTTTTAAGTGAATAAGCATAACATCAAACCCGCTATTCTGTTAAAAATAACCGATTCAAGTGGCGGATGCTGCTGTCTGGTTACTTTTCTGTGGTCCGAGTTCAAAATTATAAATAGCTATGCCTAAGCAACACAGATCTTTTACTGGCCTGAGTTTGTTGTTCAATTGAACCATCAAACATAAGGATGTGACACGTGGCATATCGATTCTATGAAATGCATTCAAGGGTATTTTTCACGCCATATAGATGTATAACATGTTTGTTCCATTTTTTGTGCAATTTGCTTTCTAATTCCTACTGCTAATGTTTGTTTCTTCCTTTTCTTAGTAAGTTAAAATACGGATAACAGTTATAGAACAGCGGACAACTGAGCATTATTTCAATTAGTAAATACATTTGATTACCTGCATTTGACTAAGAAGTTTTATTGTTTTCATAAGTTTTTAGAGCTGCATTCCCATCATATTATATAACCAATGATAATCGAAACACTGTGCATATTTTAATGAAATGAAATATTATTGTATACTGTAATGTATAACTTTCAAAATTTCTTAATAAAGCGCTGTGTCTCAAAAGTTAACAAAAGTGAACAATGTTAATAAAAATGACTTGACTTGAAAAAACACTAGCACATCGATTTTAACTATTGCATCATGACATTAATTGAAATCGACACCTACAGACACTTCTATTTCTGCAGTCACGACCGTTACACTAATGTTACTGTCTCTGGGTTCTCACTAACATTCAAGACACGTCTCTCATACCCATCTGTTTTCGTTTTTATATAACTTTCTATTGTAGAAGAGTTTCTTTGTTATCATAATGAAAAGTGATTACAATTTTATTATTTGACATATTTTCCCATTTTGTGAAAGTTTCGGGTCTATTTGTTGTCTTATATATATATATATATATATAAATTTCTCGTTTCCGTGACAAAATGTCTATCTAAGTGTTTAAAAACTTTAACCTAAATATGTTTGGTATAGATCTAGTGAGAAACTCCCTATTTCGTGATGACATCATGCACGGTAGTTGGAAAACTTTCTTCCCATATACCAATGTACCTGTCCCTTAACATTTAGCTCTTTTCCTTGGCCTAAATTTTCGCATGATTTTTTCATTGCAAGTGGTTATAATCATTTATACACCTACTGCGTCATTCCCCAAACCTATTTACGTACTCTATGGTATGTTTAGGTCCTAAAAAGTAACTACTAATTTTAGTATTTGTTGGAGATAAAAACTACAAGGAGCTGCTTCTGAAGATTGGAAAATAAGTGTCGAAGACGATACTAAATATTACATTTTATAAACATAATTACACAATAAGCATACATTACTCTATAAAACTCTACTGCTAATCTTTTAAATGTTGACCAAATGTGCATTCACTAGTGGGTGAGCGGTAAGTTTACACACTTACAATAATAATATCTGGGGTTTGATTCCTCGGATGGAAGAAACACATGTATCCCATTATGTAGCTTTGTGTTTAATAACAAACAAACAAGCCGAATGTATAACAACTAAAAAATTACCTGAATAATTAGCGCAGAAACTGTTGGAACAGAAAACAATTATTAAAATGAAGAGTTTATGAAAATACCGTATTTTTCGGTGTATAAGACGCACTTTTTTACCCCAAAATTTGATGTCAAAATCTGCTTGTGTCCTATACACCGAAGGTATGAATAATATATATGAATATATATACGATATACACAAGCCATATGTAAATATATTTAAATAAGCATGCATAGTTTAGTTCAATTGAATGTGTTATTTATAACAATGGTAGTTTTTTCTTTTAAAAACATAACTATTTATAATGCTCCCTAAATAATAAAAAAATAAATTACAGTGAAAACAATGAAGGGTTTGAACCAAACTAAATAACAGTAAACCTTTTTTT